CATGATTTATACTATTGAGTAAAGACTTTTGAAGTACTACAGTGGTATCATGTGAATATCACGAACTATGCAACCCAAATTGCACAATTGCAAATAAAATTGTCGTTTGACAGAAGCCTTCTTCACATCATGTTTTCGCAACTATATATTTTGAAATTGGTTGATTCTTGAAGATATACTCATTGTCATAGACTATTTTTTCCTTACCATTATGGATATAAACATGATTTATACTATTTAGTAATGTATTCTACTGATAAAGACTCTTGAAGTACTACAGTAGTATCATGTGAATATCACGAACTGTTTTTAAGTATCTAATTTGAGAATCAACCTTGCAAACTTGATATTGTTTTCTTTTTGGGATGATATTTAGAACTTGAAAATCGCAATGGTAGTAAAATTAAAAAAGTATCATTAAAAAGCAACAAAAGTAATAATACTAGATACTGCAGACAAATTTATTATATTTGTAAATATTTTTATTCTTCTATAAGAAAAAAAATAATAAAACGTAATTATCATACGAACAAAAAAAAAAGAATAGAACGAGAACTAAAAATGACTATATTATATAATATATAACAGTACAAAATGTTTTTTTTTTTTTTCATCAAACGTTTTTCGTTTTGCATTTTCGCCTCATTTTTTTTTTCTCCATACGTAGAATATAAAAAAAAAACGGATGCGAGAGGAAAGGAAGGAACACAAGAACATGTCAAGCAGGAAAATTATGAATAGAATATGAGAGGGAAGGATTGTCGGATGGTGTTTTATCTTCTTGTTTTGATGGGAGAGTGGGCGGTGGGAGAGGCGGGGGTGGGGAGCATGTTGTATAAAGAATAAAATAGTAAAAAATAAAAATACCACAAATATACATAAAAATATGATGTCAAAAAAACCAACAGAAATAAAATATATATAAACAAAATGTTAGCAACATCTAAAATCTATGAATAAAATTCACCAGTAGTAAATGTTAACGATTCTGAATCTAATAAATTAATTAATTAATTAAAAAAAAAAAATGTACAATAATATTATAATATTATCCATTAACATTACGTGGCCTATCTCGAACGAAAGAAGAAAAAAAAAACAAAATGCAGGCACGAAAAGTCAAAAAAAAAAAAATAGTAATAGTAATAAACATGTTATGTCAAACGAATCCAGTTTTCATTACACAATAATAATATATAATATAATTAATTAATAATTACATACTTAAAAACCACGACATCATTTTGTTTTTTCTAATCCTGTTTTTCCTTTTTTTCTCTCCGTCATTTAATAGTATTCATGTATATATATATATATATAAATCTTAAAAATCATTTAAAAATTAACAAATTAGCGTTTAATTAAAAAAAAAAAATATATATAGAAATGAACAAAAAAAAAACCGTTACCCTTGCTTTACCCTCATTTTTTTTCTTTACAAAAAAATATATGCAGGCTATCTTACAATAGTCCACTCGAACGCAATCACATTAACTTTACAATCTTTTTTTGATTTTTTTTTTTTTTTAATTTCACTTTGTCCCGCACAATTTTCCTTCTGCTTGTTACCTTCCACGGAATCCAATGTAGTAAAAAAATGCACGAAACAAACGAGAAAAAAAAAAGAGCGCGGAGAAGAAACAAAGTTAACGCGATTCGTTTTAAGTTTCGAAATCGTAAACGTAGCATATTCCAATACATAAAAAGACCAGGAAAAAAAATTATTGTTGTTGTTCTTTTTCCGGTTCAATTATGAAAGAAATTATGACTATCATAGCCTGTTCAATAACAAAAAAAAAAATTAATACGTTAGCCACTGTCGCACGTACTAAATACATACTTTTTTTTTTTTTAAATACAAAAACAGAACGATTTTTCCAATTGTTATCAATTCACGTAATAATAATGATGGCTATTATAATAGTAAAAAAAATAACGAATTTCGGCTGTTTGCTTTCTCTCTCTGTGATGTTTCCGTAATCACGCACATACAATATAAATAGTTTTACAACACTGGGTTCTCCTAAAAATATACATATACAAAATACATAATAATTATAATAATAATAATATAAAGACAATTTAAAAATAACTACAAGATACGAGTGCGACAATGGCTAACATATATATAATGTGTTTCTTTAAGAAGCTAAAATTTTGCTCTTCTTTATTAACGATAAAACCTTAAACATAACTTTACAAAACTAATCTGGCATTTTCACCGTCTGCTTTCGCTTCCACAAAATTGCACACACGAAACGAAATAATTCATTCAATTTCACTTTTTATTTCAATTTCACAAATAAATCTCCTTTTTTGTACATCGCGAATTTTTTTTTTGCACATTAAAATGTTTGGTGGATGCGTCGGGTTCGCATTGAAATTTCAGTTTTCATTTTTTTTTTGCAGGAAGAGAAGCAGAGCGGAGAAAAGTGAAGCTACTAGACAGAAAAAAAAGTTATCATCATCGTATCAAAAAAAAAATAATAATAAAGAAAGTTATAAAAATAAAATAAAACAAAACAAGAAAATTTGTTTTCGATTTCACGTGTCGTGTCAATATGAAATTTTGTTTGTTGTTTACTATATATATATATACGTATATCACGGGTCCTTCCACTCGTGGTATTCATTTAAAAATTTACTCCAAAAATGAATTCAATAATCGGTGCACGAATATAAAGTATTTGAAATCAGTGTGAGTCGGGTTTTTCTTTTTTTTTCGGTTTTGATATATATATATTTGTTTTTTGTTTTTTTTTTTTGGAGAGAGAGAAAGATTGAGATTGAGAAAAATAATATATATTAACATTGCATTGCATTGCAAGCACCAACGATTTTATATTGAACTTTTGCGATTTGAAAAAGTTAAATAAATAAACATCATTTAAATTATTTCGTCTTTCAACAATAAAAATTCTATTTCATCAATATCCTCTAAACTATTTCATATACTTTATACATTTATGTCGGAAATCAAAAATAACAACAACAACAATAAAAATGATAGCGCGTTACTGAAGAAATGTGAAACTTACAAAATGTTAAACTGAGTTGAAATGAAATCGAATGCGCGCAGAGATTGATGAATCGGCGGAGGAGCCGAAAGGACGACCGTACTCTACTAAAGCTGAGACAGTCTAACCGTTTGAGAGAAAAAGAAATGCGGTTTGATCATTAACATTATTCATTTAAATCCTAGATTAGCTACCGATTGTATTTTGGAAGAGAAACTCTTTGCTAAAACAATAAATACGTCGTCGTCCTCTTTGTTTACTATTATTATTATTATTATACGCTTCTTCGTAACACCTACAAATTACCAGTCTCCCTCAACGAAATCCTCCACCGACCTCATTATTATTTCTTTCTGTTTTAAATGTTTTTTTTTTTTATATATATAATAATAATAATCCATATATTTTCATATCTTTCTTTAACCCTCACTTTGTTTTTGTTTGTTTATATCTTTCAATATATAATATATATATATATAATTTGTTTATCTTCATATTCTGTATTTATTTTAAATAGTGTAACCTCTTAGTGTAGACTGTTACGTTAAGTGGCAGATTACGATACGTAAATATGTATAATTATTTAATTTACTTTCATCAACGTTTTCTGTTATTTTATTTATTTTTAATATATATATATATGATTTATTTTTTTTCTTTTTATATATATATATATAATTTTTTATATTTTATTTTTTTTGTCAAGTTCGTTGTCGTGAAGGACCGTAAATCGTTACAAACAAAATTGTCAACAAAATCAGCACCTAGAGGATTCAGAATTCAGAACCATCGATCTCCGCAAATATTGTACATATCCCACACGATCCGACTGATGCTCTCCCTCCAACCCCTTCCTTCTCTCCATCTCTCTCTCTCTCTCTCTCTCTACACCCTATCCCCACATGCCTTTCATTTACACTCATTTATACTCAATAACGTGAAATAAACAAAGACGAAAAAGATAAAGAAGAAACAAGACTCTACCCCATATATAAATATAAATATATGTGTTACGTGTTTCGTGAGTTAAGTGTTCATTAAGAGGGTGTCAAGTGTTACAGTGTCTCATCCCTTTTCTTTATCTCCAAAATCGTCATCGTTCTCGATATATTATTTATATATATTTGTTTTTTTTTGTTTTGTTTTGTTTACATTTTAAAAGTGTACGTGTCATCTCTCTCAATTAGTTAAATTATTTATATATATATATTAATAATCATATTTCAATATATTCATCCGATATAAATATATACATATATAAATTCTCTCTCTCTCTCTCTCTACGATTTAATTTATCATTAATTCATCTATATTTTTACTCTTCGTCATCAATCATCATCATCATCTTTCAATAGAATTATAACAAACAACAAACGATAAGTTGTACTTTGAAATCAGGGCCTGGCTCAAGCGTAGTTTTTCGTAACATTTACGGTGCTTCACGATTCAACCGAATCCATTTTCTGTTTTGTGTAATATATTTTCATACTTTGTATATATATATATATATAATATTTTTTTTTATCAACCGATATCAACATCATTCAATATTTGTGTATGTATGTGTGTGTGTGTGTGTTTTTTTTTTCTTTTCTTTTGTCAATAGAGATCTGCAAATATCATTTTTTATATCTTCTTTTAAATTAATTTCTATGTCACAACAATATTATTCTTTTTCTCTCGAATATTTCGCTTCTCTTTTCTTTTCTTCCATATATATATATATAATCATATTAACGTATTTTTAAATTATTATTATTTTTTTTTGTTTGTTTATATATTTATGTATTTAAGGCCGATACAATCAGTATGAAGGAATCTGAAACAGAAAGAGAACGCTAAAATTAGTCATCGAATTTTTGTTGGAACACTAATTTTTATAATTGCAATAAAAAAACAGTTATTTTTTGTCATATCCAAAAAATTGAACTTTAGAAATTTAATAAATAGGGAGAATATTTATACTTAAATTCGAGTTAAAATAGAATTTAGTAAAGAAATGGATTTCAATAATTTGGTTATTTTAGGTTTGTTGCCATTTGTTAAAGGTGTAAATGTGTCCATTAACGAGTTGAATTTGATATCAATGAGTTAATCATGCAATTCAATCAATTTATCCACCCTATCGACACGGTTTCACGTGGTCACGTTGGTTTATTAGCGCCGAACGTGATAATTGCGCGAAATTATACGATAATTAGAGCAACCTAAATCCACATTGATGCAACGCTGACGCGTAATCCAGTCATTAAAGTAGTTTGAAAGTAGCTGTTATCAACTTACCATGGCTAACCAAGGCTGCGGACTACAGATCGGAGGATGCTGAACAATTATCTCAACTGTCCACGCTGAACAGTTCCTTATGTAAGGCAGGGAACTCTAAATGAGGTGCAGATCTTTTCAGCTTCCCTAATGCGTCCATGTGTAACATACTTATTTCTCTGCAACAAAAAACGGAAGCGAGCCAAGATAAATAAGTGGATCAATGTTTGAATTGAAAAGTATCACTTACCGTAATGTAGGTATCTTAGTAAGCAAGGCATCACAAACAGTTACGTCTCCCTTGATTGGAAGTGAATGGTTCCTTTCTAATTCAAGTCGTAAGGCTCTCACAACCGCTTGACTCAATCGGCTTATCTCACCGATACCCTTCAGACCGGGCCGATCTGCAACAGGAATAAACGCAAGTGTTAAGAAGAAACGTAAGCGGTTTTTGTGTGTGTGTGTGTGTGTGATTTATATATATTTACCAGGTGAAAGAAGGACGCAGGCTGAATATAAAGCTAATTCCGTTTCGGTGAGCTTCAATTCGGCTACGCTCTTGGCCACCTCGAAGACGCACGTCACGAGCTTCATTTCGGCGGTGTCCGATGTGAAGAACGCATCCTGCGGTAGCATCGTGTCCCCGTAGAGAACGCAGTTCTGGGACAGATCCAGATACCTGGACATACGTATGATGGCGAGCTCGAAGCTGCCGGCCTTCAGCAGCACGATCTGATCGTCCTGCGAGAGCTTCATGAAACCAGGTACCATTTTGGCGAACTCGATGATCTGCTGGATGATTGTGGTGAGCTTCTGGGCGCATTCGAGCCACAGCTCCTCGTGCGCCATATTCTTATAGTACAAAAGTCTTGAGAGATCGTGGTCGGGCTTGCATTTGAACATCTCGCGTATGTGATCCATTTGGTACAAGCATGTACGAGCGTGTGCGTCTAATATTGTTTTCGACAGAAGCTCCGATATCTGGCTGGGATCTAAAACATCAACATTGATGATGATACTACAAGACTTGAATTAAACGTCTGGTTTCCAACCTTCCTCATGCACAAGACACGCACGGAACATTCACTGATCATAGGATACGAGCGAAAGTTTGGAAACCATAACTCGAGATTAAGCAAAAAGCTTATTATATATATACTTATATATATGTAAAAAAAAAAATCAAAACGAAACCACCAAGTAATAATGATAATAACGCAACAACAAATAACCAGAACCACATAAAATTATCATGTTTTTTTTTTTAATCCTTATGTTCTCTATATTCACAAATCTTACGATTATTCCATTAAACAAAATCTTATGATTATCTTTAGTAATGTTATTAATAGTAAATATACAGTATGTTGAAAATGCAATTAAAGACAAAATGGTTCTGAAATATTTGTTATTTGAAAACAGATAAAATAAAAAAAATAATTTCTTATTAAAATTTGGATGTTGATTTTGGAGACTTACTAGGCAATGAAACAGGTTCACAGTCATCGTTACTTCTTTGCTGTATGCTCTGTGAACTGGCCTGCTGCCTGGTGGCATTGTTAGATTGCACATTGGGTGAGTTTACAAATGTGGTGCTGTCAACATAGCTAGGCACTAAAGTGTCCACTGGGCCTTCCTGCTTGATGGACACGACGCCAGTACCTGACATACTGTTACTATTAGTCGTCGTTTGGGTCGCACCACCCCGTTTAAATGAACTACGTGCATCCGACATCGAAACCGATTGCTTCCCGCCACCACTACCCCCGTTCACACCATTGTTAGTATTACCTACACCAAGTTAGACTTTAGTTTAATACTTCGATATCAATTTGCATTTCTTTTCCTCATCTCTCCCACAAATTGAAATCTTTTAGGAGAGTTTAAGAAAGAAACTGGACATGATGGTTCATGCGATTGTAAATTAGATCGAGTCCTACCTGTGTTCACGACGTTCGACATTAGGCTTCCCGTGTCACTGAGGGCATCCAGACTTGGCCTAGGGTCGTAGGTGGTTGTACTGTCCACGTAGTCCGCAGATATATCATATCCCATTGAATTCGCTTGCACTTGTGTCTGGCCGGTATAATACGTAGGAGTGTATGTTCCAACATCACTGTTGTACGTATATCTACAAAAAAAAAAAAAAATCGAGATCCATGCAATAATATTCTTTTTACACTTTACCAAAATATAACTTATAATTACAAAAACTCAACATGAAACACAAATTATAGTCAATTACAAGTACCAGTCTTTACATCACGAACAGTGCAGACACAGTAGAAAACTTGATATACTATTGATTATTGTAATAAGATGAGTAACAATTGCAAATGACTAGCATTTATGTTTCATGTCGTAAATAGTGTAGTAACTTAAACCTATCGAAAATATTGAACGAGTGTCTTGAATCTTCAATTCAATCAAATATAGATATTTACCCTCCGTTATAATTGTGATGAAGTTGATCACTGCTTGAGGGCGTCTGCTGTTCGAACACGGAACTGTCCGGTGCCGAATCGCTCTGCGCCCTGAGCTGTGCCCTGTGGAACCGCACCTCGTCCTCGACTTTTTCCCTCTGCTTCTTAGACATCCGCCCAAATTTCACGGCTGTAATAATAAAAGAAAAAACAATAAGTTTTGAGATGAACAGTTACATTCCCATCGAGCGATTCAACTGCGTCCGTGTCTATCTCTGTCTTTAGCTTATACATCTTAAGCTCATCGCGTTTTTCCTTTTTCTCTACTCGCTTTAGTGGAAAATCAATTAGAAGAATTACGACGGTAAAAGAGTCGGAATAGCGGACGCTCAACCGCTAGAGCTTACGTCACCCGCACTCCTGCTGATCTCTTCTCCAAACTCCATCTCTCTCTATATCGTGCAAAAATCATCCTTCTACCTCCTCCTCCTCCTCTACCAAAGGCATCGGATCAGAGGGAACCTTTTCCGAGTACGCATTGCACCTATTATTATACAATGGCAGATTTTATTTTATTTTATCTCTGTGTGCTGCGGTTTTATAAATTTGCGTGGGAAGCACCCAAGTAAATAAATCTATTTATCTTCACGGCACGAGAACACATTACCAGCAATTACTTTCCATCGACGAGCATACATAATTCGATTTTACAATATTCCAATTAGGAAACTCTGCATCGAGGAAATTGATAGAAGCTGGAGAAGCAAACAAAACAAAAATCAGGGACGTAATTGAAGCGGATACGAACGTGGTATAGCCGTTAAATGCTGCATTTTAACTGGGACAATTTATAACTTCATCTCTACAATTAATACAACCGATTGCACAACAAAAGTGTTCATTTAATTAACAGTCATTTACAATTAACACGTTCAAAATAAATGCATCAACTATCATTCATTCATCATAATTATTTTAGAATTCACTCTAACTCTAAAGATTTAAAATATTCATGAACTTCATGATCATCTGTTTCAAAATAAAAATGTTCGTAATAATAATAATAATTAATCCTGTTTTGTACACATATCTCTGTTCATTAGTTGCTTTTATTATACTATACTCGTAGATTAATTGGATTGAAAGCAATACTGAGATCAGTCATCGGGCCAGTTGTTATTGCGTAAGTGCACCGAGATGTTCATTAAGATATTTGGATTCCGTTTGGAGAACGGATCAGATCAATTGTGCAATGCGTAAATCCGGTGGATGACATTTTGCCCATGCATATTTGATTGTCGAGCAGCGGAGAACGCCTGGTTCGGTTGAAAGATTGGAATCGTCGAGTGAATGACAAACAAACAAAAAAAAAACAGAACCAAAAGGAAATAAAAGATGAAGTAGAGAAAAAGAAACTGCTTTAAGGAGTGACCGAAGCAAAGGAATGATTGAACGCCTTTTCGGTGTGCGTTTATCTAAATGGATCTATCTGCAAAACGAAATTGATCCTGATTAAATGCAGGAAAGCAAATTGCGAAACGGGACCCCATTTGTACTGTAACTGTGCAAACGACATATGACGAATTATTAATTTAATAAAAAAGCTCGCAGCTGTAGTTGTGTGTATGTAGTTAGTACATAACATGGCGCACAACCTCATACTCGTACGTACATACACACATACACACATGCATATACACGCACAGTACAGGATCGGCCGAAATGCACAGTTAACACGATATGAATACATAAAATACACGCACGCCTCGTTACGTAACAGCGACACACTTTTATCCATCCTCGTCTCGCTCCCGGCTAGCCTACGTTACGCAATGCGTTTGTGCGTGTACGTAGACATTTGCTGCGCGCAAATGAAACATGTCCACCTCGCAATTATCCATCGCAAAGAACCTAGGTGGGTCCCAAACTAGATCAACATATCATATTCATACAAGAAAAGCGACAAGAAAACAACGAATTTGTAAACAAAAAAAAAAAAAAGGGCAAAGGGGCACGTGAATTATAATCCAATGGAAAGTGCGAGTGTGTCTCTTTGATAGACGCCGAAAGGCTTTGGCTTTAGTCGCCGTGGCGAGATTTACTGCATATCGATGTGGATAATATTATAATCGCTTTATCCACAAATCATCGCCGCATTAGAAAGTCGTAAAACATATAGTATATGCACACGCGTATTCCGGCGAGCGGCGAAAGAAAAGAACTTATTATAATCAGAAACTCTGGAACATTAAAAATGGAAGTTGCCAAAAATCCTGCACTTTCACTTCTTCCTCTCACCGGTCACATAATGCGGCAATAATAACAAAGCCGTTTCATTATTTCCCTTTCTTTCTTCTCGCTCATTCCGTACTCCTGCTATGTCTTTCAATATACACACACACATTTGTTTGCTTTTCTTTTTTCTTTTTCGTCTGATCACTGAACTGCGTTGCGCAATTCGATTTATGTACGTATGCATTCGCGTTAAGCCGATTCTCTTCGATGTTCTCGCAAAGCGACTATAATCAATTCCAGCAACCAAAAAAAGAAACGCTTACATCATCAATATCTTAATACTTCGTGTATAGATAAAAGTCTGTTAAAATTGTCAAGTATTTTGATCATCACTCATCTTTGGTGAAGCTCTAATCAATGATTAATTAAAGTAAACAAGTTACGTAACAAGTGCATTCTTTATCTCAGTTTCTTTACAAATAAACTTCTCTAATTCTCTAATTCTAATTCAATTAATTTCGTTATATATATTTTTAAGTATATTTTTTATTTTAAAATCTTCTTAATTCTTTGACGATGTCATAATTATTGTTATTTGTAAACGTTGAAATTCGAATTACAAAGTTATACGAGTGTTACGAATTAAATGAATTTAAAACAAGTTGCGGACACTCGAAATCTAAATGTAATTAGAAATTTGTCCCTCGAGGATTCATTTGGCTGAAGAGTTAAAAACACTCGGAAATTAATTGAGAACCGGGAGGAGATTCTAATTAGAAACTGTGAAAATGTGCATTTATATATATATTTCTTTCTTGTTTTTTTCACTATTTTCTTTTTCATTATTATCTGGAAAAACCGAAATGTGGGTGCGATGCAAATAATTAAATTGAATGAAAGAGATGGCCGTACAGGAAGAATAATATATGACAGGAACTGAAGCGGGATTCGAGTTGGCATAAAAGAGGGATGCAACAACGTATAAATGCATACATACATGCATGCATACATTCAAAAGCAGTTGTAATCTGTTTTCCATGCAAACCGATAAGAATTACAATTGCTTTTGACATTTTTTTTCTAACCTACTTCGAGACAAATCCATACAAAACTAGAAACGATATCCAATACATGAATAGGTTCTCCGCGCAGAACGGCTTCCTCTCTATACACTTTTACACAAACACACACAACAATCTCGTAACAATATTAATAATAATAACAATAATATTGTTTCTGGTATTCCTCTGAGAGACGAAATTAATGTTGCGTATCGAACGCAGAAATATAACATAAAATAACATTTTTACTGGATTGAAAATTTAAAGTGAAAAATGCTTTATCCAATTAGACAAACGTAATGAAAATGCAGAATTTCCGCGTGCGTGTAGAAGAAAAACAAAGTGAAATCTTTCCCCTGATATTTTCTACATAACATTTACTCATTAATGAAAGAAAAAAGAAAATACTTGAATATTTACCAACATATAAATTGTATAAACGTATCAATTTTGACACGAAACAAATAACGTAATTGTATTTATTATTTTTAAAATAGGTTAACTGAGTTTAATTAAGATTTTATTAGCACATGCATATTATTACGTAACTTTGCGAAATACTCTTTAATAGATTATTTAATTATTAAATTTGTATGTGAACTTAAAAGTTTATAATATTTGATGACCGTATTGATTTTACAGTAGTTGACATATCGAGATGTTTAAAAAAAAAATATATTGAAGATTGGTAGCTCAATTTAGTTGATAGACATATCCAATTATATTGGTTTTTAAATTCAATTGCTTCAAGATGCGTCTGAGGAGTGACATAATAACAGTTTAAATTAAAATGTTGGACATAGAATGATTGATAATAGGATTGAAGTATTATTGATTATATTTTGAAGTAAGTAATGAAGATAACGGAGATGTTTCGTAAGAAAATAAAAGTAGTGTAAAGAAAATGAACGTGGAATTTTCTCAATTTCCATGGTGGTGAGATAGTGGCATGCCTTGCTTCTGTCCATCGCGAGAACGCCGTCAAATGTTCTATTTCGCAATTAGTGCGAGAAATGCGTGAACAGAATGAAATTGCGATCAGATGAATAGTCGCCCGGTGGATAGATGGATGGATGGAAGAATGGATGGATTGGATGGAGAGGAGGTCGCGTGGAATGTTAAAAACTCACCATCCCGGCTCATGCCAAGTCGCAGGCATTTCTGGAGGCGGCAATACTGGCATCGATTCCTGTTCACCCTATCAACCACGCAGTTCTTGTTCCTCGGGCATTGGTAGTTCACCACTGAACTCTGGGATCGCCGGAAAAACCCTTTGCATCCCTCGCATGTTATCACCCCGTAGTGGACGCCGCTGCTCTTATCACCGCACACCTTGCAAGGGATGATTTCAATTTGTGCTGCAAAAGGAAACAGAACATAGAAATGAGTACAATTTACAATCACGCATGCAAAAATGCTAATAATCGATCGGCAATCAAATCGGTGACATTTTCACTTTTATTGTTTGCAAAGCGACAAACCGCATATTATTATATAACGTCCCATTTTCTATTGTTTCCAAAGCCGACCATGTAACGCGGCAGTAGTTTTTTTTTTTTTTTCACCGCTCTCCAGCGGAAAAGTCTGTATTTTTTTTTCCTTCGACTTCTTCTTCTACTGCGCTTACGCCATTATAAAATAGGCACACGCAATTTTTATTTCAGAAGAATAATGATAATGGTAAATGAAACGGGTAAACGATGTCGGTTCAACGACTCCTGAAACCGTTTCTCGTTCTCTCCACTCCAAACGCACGGAAAAGAAGACACTAATCAAGATAACCGGGTGCTCCTTATCTAGAAAACTGTGATATCGTGTATCTCTAGGATTCAGTTCCGTCTCCAGCATTCTGGAAAACCGTGCGATACCATACTTTCGTAAACAAATAAGCCAGACAATGACCCATGATCACGTGGGACAAATACCACGTTTTATTTGTTTTTGACGTCTTCACACAGGTGTCGAAACGTCTCCTCTCCGCGACTTCAGCAAAAGGCTATTTTCGCTCATTATTCTCACACAAATTTTCTTCTTTTATCATACGTTCGTTCCTTAGTTTTTTTTCTTCTTTTCATTTACCATTTAAATTTAAATTCTCCTATTAATAGAATTATGATTCGCGCGTCGTAATTCACGAATGGTTTGGGCCCGGGCCAAAGAACGAAAGTGTTTTCACAAGAACGGGGACACTTAACGCTTATTTTTTTCATCTTTCGTTCTCTGCGAAAGCATAATATTTATTACTAAAAAAAAATAGTTTATCAACAACAGATGTCGCTTTTAAATTACGTCCAGCAAAATACCGGTTGATAACACAACCATTACAGACACAAATTAAATGACATATTTTAATCAAATTTGTTTCCGATTATCACAAACACCCAAACAAACATCAGCATCAGAAAATATTTAAATAAAATATATTTGCATTAATTTAGATTTGGACAGAAATCCAAGATTAAAATAAAAAGTAACTATGATTAAAGTAGTTTTCGTATAGATGACAAAAGTTCATTATAGATTCAGAAATCATGAAATTTCAACTTACATAATCAATCAAATATTTACAAAATAACTTTACCAATTTAATGTATAAGTTTAATACACAAAACACTTTCTTTAACAACAGAATAACAAGTAAATTTTATTGTAATAAAACTATATTTTTTTAACAAATTTATTAGGTTGATTACCTTTGCTTTACAGTGAAAAAATTCTGAATCTACTGCTATATGCATTAGCTTGAAAATCGCTGTTCGATAACATTTATTAACACTTATTCCTTATCGGAGCAGTGTAAAACAATTTATTGTGATGAAAATAGTGAATTCATATTGAATCGGTGAATGTTCAATAATGAACGGACCTCGCCTTAAGATAAATTCGAGGAGATCGGAACATGATGAAATTGTGAATAATTACACGTATTTAAATTCAACTCGATAAGATCCGATTGAATCAGAAACGTTTTGATTTATTGATTAGTTTTGCCTGTAGAAGGTAACAAACTGACTGAGGTCGTACGGCCTTTCCCATACAATAAAAAAAAATAACAGTTCATCCAACAATACTTGAAAAAAATAATTTAAGCAGTCACCGTTATTCGGCGAAAGGAACCGTTAAATTTAGTTTGTTCACTGTATATTTTTTTTTCTTATGACGAATTGTATGAGCGGATTTCGTTCTTCCCATTATGTTTCTTCTTATTTTCTTGTTTTTTTTTTTTTTTTTGTAGGTATTACTCTCTGGTGTTCTTCGGCTGGCGCAGATTTATTTATGGTTCGCGAAGTCAATCAACTTGCCATGGACGGAACAATAAACTTGGAGAGAAGGAAAGAGACGGAACGATGCTTTTAGGGACCTCCCAAAAAGACCACTTCCGCAATTTCGTACGAACAATCGCGAACCAAAACGACAAGGCGAAACACTGTAATAACAGTGATTAAGAGCTTCCAAAAGTCATTTGGAAATGCAATACAATTACATCGGCAAATTGAGTTTTTATTATACCATTGATTTCGATTGTACAGTTAGTGATGATCATAAACGATATACCAAAATCAGTCTTGTATTTATTTATAAAAATCCGCCAACTCCGACGCTTTCTTTTACGAGTCGTTATGTAAATGCTGGATTTCAACATCTTAAGTTAATTGAATCACAAGAAAAACGATATTGATATAATTATGAACGTATCAACTTGAATTATCTTTGCATTCAGGACAAACACTCAATAAAAATATGTAAAAATAAACATTTACAAACTAATATACTTCGAAATTAATTAAAAAGCTTAATTATTCAAAAAGACATATATTAAGTAAATAATTGAAACAAAAATTGCGTAATAAAATAATTTGATTTTAAAATTAAATTGATCATAATTTTGGTGCGAGAGGAAACGATGTCTTTGATCTTTGCAACCTTAATTAAAGCTAATATATGCGTATAAAACATATTTTTTTTTCGCAACTCGAAACGACTGCACGTCTCATGATTTTATGAACGTCCACTAATAAGTTTGTAGTGGAAATACTTTTGATGATGCTTTAAATAGAAAATCAGTTATATCATTATATACAACTAACTTGTATTCATGCAACTTCGCTGTTACTATTTAATTGTTTATAATAGTTTGTAATGTGATATTTTTTTATAATGTAACAAAAGAAACAATAATTGATTTAATTTTAAAATATATAATTTTATGCAACACAAATTTATTAATAAATAAATAGTGTTTCTATAGAGATTTTCATATCGCGTCGTATACTTTTGTTGCGAAATATATATTTATAAAAGTGGAATTGTATTTGGTTTGAAACCATAACCTAGGTTTAAACTATTGCGAATTTAGTGAGACATGTGCGGAATGATGATGTAGCATTATTATACCTCTAATCGAGTTGACGTGTTTCTTTTCGTCTTTATCGTCGTTGGACTGTTGAGATGGTGGAGGCGGCGGGGTAGTAGAATCTACCGAATTGCACGTGCCGTCCGACCGCCCCTCAGCGGACCAATTATCTCCTGCACTGAATAACTCTTGGAACGAGTCCATTGTACGCCACTGTTAACGTTCGTTCACATCCGCCACAATACGAGCAAACTCGTCGCATGGCAGCGCCTCTAATTGGCCAAGCGGCTGTCCAATCGCACCGGTCGCAGATGAATTATGCACCAATGAAAAAACGCACTTGAAAAATATTGGGAAAAAAATAAACGGAAGAAGATGTTTTCGTGCTTCCTCGTTTGCTGGATGGGAATGTTTGCTGATTTTCACTGTTAATAAGTATTCACATGATTCTTCCACCTGTAATACGAACGAAGGCAACCGAAGTTGGCCGCTTCTTTGGCGATTAGGAAGTTGGATGGGGGCCAGATCTAATTGGTCGGGGACTTTTCAACGTTCCGGCCCAACTTTTCGGCGCCAAACTTTCCGAGTCGGTACGTTTTAGTGCGGAGCCGAACCGAAGCGCGCGTATCGAGCGGCTCGTGTTTAGGAGGCGCGGTTGAAGCCATTGAACTCGAGGTTGTTCACCGCCAAATATGGTCGAGAGCGAGAGATTCGATCGTGCCTGCTCAGAAAATAAGAAGATGAAGATAGAGGAGGATGAAGAAGAAGAAGAAGAAGCAGCAGAAGAAGGCGGTGGAACAAGGAAACAAATAATATATGCCAGATAGTAAAGAGCAAGACAGATATAAAGGGGATTCTAAAATTTAAAAGGAAGAGAAGGCGAGAAGCTTGTTTGGGGTGGCGCCTCCGATAACGTCGTGCACGGTTTGTTTGACCTTTGTCGAGGTCGTTAAAAGCCGGATGGTTCGGAAGGCTGCTGTGACCATGTCCGAAGACGCGCTCGAATTTTGACAGGAGCGAAAGGAGAGAGAGTGAGAGAGAGAGAGAAAAAAAAAGTGCGTTGGAAACACGCGCAATCTATTTTTAAACAATGTGAATGACCGATTACAAGCACTCACATACTCATATGGAACGCGATAAAGAGACAATAACACCCGTTATGCTTATCGCTGGAAATTCGGTGGTGGAGGAGCCCACTATCAGCAATTATCGAGGCTCTTACAATTCCCAGACGCACGAATTTGTTTAAGACTTTATTATTAACGAAATAGAGTTGCGCGTTCGGGGCCGGATCACTTCCAATCGCCAAAGAAGAAGCAGGTTGGCCTCAACACTCTTAAATTACTCACACTGCACGATGGGAAAAACTTAAAACTAAATGCACTGTATAAAAAATACGCTTTCGGTGTATATTATAATATATATGTTTAAAAAATGTTCTAAAACTTTTAAAGCACTTCTGTAAGGTGGTCGTGTATTGCTGGTATAATAATTATAAAAAGTATCACTGCGATCGCGTCACAAATATAAAGCACTGCCGGTTCCTTTCGAAATACTGTATATTCCCATTCGGTTATGCACAGAGACACTGGGCTTTAGGCACTGGGACGACTTCCTGGTTTATGTATCACTCGCGTGGACACTCCGCGGACACCCGGAAAAAAGGTTATGTAGAAATTAAATTAAAAAAAAAGTAATATAAAAAATGAGAACCGTGTACGAACACATGCACGTACAACTGCAACTACAACAACAACAAACAACAATTCGTGGCTTTTCGGTTTCTTTAGGCACTGACGACGGTTCGGGTTCGGAAACGAAACGAGCAAAAGCAAACGGGAAAAAAAAAATGATAGAAAATATCACTCCGTCATCGGGATCCGTGCGTGCCGTGTAATATTTTGGACATTTTTTTAAAGAAAGTCTCTCGGAGCAAATTGTCCATGGATCTGTGTAGTAATGTGGGTATGTACGTGTCGTCGGGACGATCTGCTCTCCTTATCT